CTGCATCCTTTAGCTGTAATAAACAATAACATGAGGATAGCCACTCGCAGCGTGTTCTGTCAGTTCATGTAGCAAAGTATCTGCACTAAGCGTGGCTTTAGGGAGCCCCTGAACTTGCAAATGGTGTCAGAAGTAAGGGTGGTCTTCTGGACTGTCCCTCTAAACTTCACAGCATAGCCCCGACCCATGGAACTCTTTCAATAAAAAGCTCGAGTGTGGGACTCTCAGACCCAGTGGCTGTAAAGAACCAGGCTTGTTTACTTTGGGAGGGAAGCAGGTTGGTCACACCAACCCACCTCAAGCTGACAGAACCAGATTCAAAAACTGCTTCCTTCCTTTCCACCTGAGACTCTGATCCCTCCCCAGATGGCTTTGGCCCCAACTGGGAGGTGGCAAAGTGCAATGAAGTGACAGCCATACCCTGATTTTATATATTCTATTTCTCAAGCAAGATAGTTAACACCTGTCACTCGACCAACCCCAGGCATCTTGTCTGTGCCAGGCATGGGGCAGTGTCTGTGGGGCACGAAGGAAGGCATTCCTCCCCTCCTGGCGCTCACTCTGGCACGGGAGCCAGACATGGCACCGTGCAGCAAGGAAGCACAGTAAGTGTCGTCACAGCCGCCTGAGCAGCACAAGACCCAGGAGCAAGGGAGGGCAGAGAGGGGGCGGGGTGGCATCACAGAAGAGGAATGGCCGGAACTGGGTCCTGGGTGGGATTTTGCCAGGCAGAGAGGAAACCGCTGCTTCCATACAGGAAGAAAGGCACAAGCAAAGTCCAGGGTAAGAACATGCCCACTCGAGCGGCCCCTGGAGTCTGGAAGGAGGAGAGCCAGACAGGCGCCAGGAGAGAGGCACCTGACGGCCGCAGATGTGGCTGCCGAGGGGAGGTGAAGCAGGTGAAGCGCAGGTGTTCAGCCCAGGGGACCACACACCTGTGGCCCATCTATACGAGGAACGGGAACAGTATGTCAAGTGACCCAAGAATTTGTCTCAGAAATGTTATGCTGAGTGAAAGAAACCAGACACAAAAAGAACATAATCTTTGATGCCATTTATTTCAAGTTCTCAAACGAGCCAAGCCAATCTCCAGAGCAGATCAGCCTGGGGCAAGATGCCTGGACAGAGGCCGGAGGGAGCTGGCCGGGGGCACGGAAATGTTCTGCACTTGACCGTGAGAGTGGTGACACAGTGATCCGATCTCATCAAGCTGAAAGCTGAAGATGGGTGAACTGTTTTTTATATTATAGTAGTTTATTTTTACATCATTTTGTGCCTTTTCCCATCTCAGTTGTAATCCCCATGGACTTCCCATCACCAATTCGAAGATGGGTGAATTTTATTGTATAGAAGTTAAGCTTCTATAAAGTGCTTTAAAAGGTGTTTTAAAAAATAAAGCCGTCAGGCCCTCCCTGGTGGCGCAGCGGGTTAAAGCACTGCACTAAGAAGCTACAGCCACTTCGGCATGAGTTCGATTCCCGCCTGCCCTGGAGGTGACCACATGGCTCGGCAGACCTCTCCTGACCCGCCCGCTGCTCCCCTCAGCAGTGTACTTCGTCGATCTGCCTGTTCTGCTCCCCACTCGGTCTCTGGTGAAGCCTCTCGCCACCCCTGCACCTCTGGCCTGTGCCCCAGTTCTGTATGCACAAATAAATCTTTTTTTTAAGATTTATTTATTTATACAGAACTGGGGCACAGGCCAGAGATGCGGAGGGTGCCTGGAGTCACGTGACCTCCCGCGCCGGTGTCTCCTTCGCCCCCGCCAGGTGCCGGTGGTGCTCCCAAGTGCATGGGCCACAGAGTGGCTGCTGCTGCTGCTGGGCTGCGGGATGCTGGGGGGTGGGGTGGAGGAAGGTCCCCTGCAGCAGTCGGGGTGCTGGGGGGTGGGGTGGAGGAAGGTCCCCTGCAGCAGTTCATGAGGCCCACGGAGCAGCTTCGGCCAGTTCCACAAGCACTTGGAGAAGGTCTTCAGTAGCAGGTGGGCTGACAGGGGGCTGGGGGGGTGGGATGGACCCCCCACCTTGACTGGGCTGGAGAACCACCCCGTGACCCCTGCAAGGATGTCCTCCCCAGCTTGGAGCCTAAGAACAAGAAATCTGAAGACCCCACGGAAGCCGAGCGTCTCACACACGCGCCACCGCCAAACGCCATGAAACACCAGCAGAACACCAGGAAACCTCTGCCAGGGGCCTCCTCGCGGGGCGCAGGGGGAGAGTCCCCCAAGCACCAGTCCGGGGCCAAGGAATGGGGGGAAGTTAGTGGGGGGGCTGGGGGAAGGCGGCAATACCACGACCCCAGTGACCCAGGGATTTCTTTCTCCAGACTGCACCTTGACCTCATGGCCCACTCAAATCTCCCCACACACCCCCTTCATATTTTGAGAGGGGTGTTCACACTTCCTCTCCACCTTCACCCCCAGTGAGAACAATAAAGACAAAGTCTATGCTTTGGTGACCTTTGTGGGCAGAAGGGGCCTGATCTTCAAGAGGGAGAGGGGACCTGGGCCCCAGCTGTGGGACAGAGCACCCCAGCTCCAGGGTCTTCCCTGCAGCCTCCCGCTGCATCTCCACCTTCCCCCACCTCACACACCACCTCAAGGGTGGGGGGGCTCTGACCAGGAGGGAGGGCAGGGGTGAAAGAAACAGGAGCCAGATCTTCAAAGAAGAGGCTTCAGCTACCCCAGGTTTCTACCGGAGCCAACCTGGTTTCTACCTTTGATGCCAACCTGGGTTGACATTGTTGGCAGAGGAACAAGCCGCAAAGCCTTGCCCCTCGGTGTCCAGGGCAGGAGGACCTGCCCCAGCCTCAGGGGAAGCTCTCAGCCCTCTGACCATGGCAGAACAAGGGGAGGGGCGGGAGCCCAACTAAGGCCTGCCCCTGGCAAACTGGGTGCAAGGGGTGGCCCCCAGGCAGACCTGCAGGGCCAGAGGCTCCCATACCCAGCTACTCCGGAGCAGGATCCTAATTCCTTCCCCTGGGGTGAGTATCTGTGTCTCCCTGCTCATGACTATACACTGAGCTGCCAGAGAAAATCTGGGACATCCAGAACACAAACTCAAACTGTTCTGCTGAAACTACCCCTCACTCACCGCCTGGACTCAAGAATCTGAGGGGTGCGTGTGCCTAGCAATGCATCTTCGCCAGCCCTGTGCTCTTTACAGCCCGCTTTCCCTTCCAGGTCTTTGGCACCCAGGAGACACAACCAGGACTTGAGGGGAAGCAGGACTGTGGTGACCTTGTGGGGTCAGCGGGAGGTGCTCAGCCCACAAAGTGGACTCTGCATCCACCCAACCTGCAAGCCCTATCTCTCTGCGGGGAGCTTGTGGGGGAGGCCGGGAAAGCCATTCCAGGAAACAGGCATTTCTAATCCTTTCAAGTCCTGCATGACTGTCCCTTACCCGCAAGAGCTCCCTCCCATCCACTCCAGGAAAGGGACAGAGAAATAAGCTCAGTCCGTCCCAGTTCACACACTCAGCACTCCTCCACCCACACACGTTCGGGCTGATGAGAAGGGCAGGGGCCCTAGGCCACTGGGACTCCTCAGTGCAGGCCCAGGGGCAGGAGGACGCGGGTGGGGGGGGTCCCGGTTCCCGCCCACCCGGAGCTGGAGTGGGAAACCCTCAGACTGGACTCCGGAGGCAGCTGGGACTAGGTTAGCGGAGACTTCTCCCTGCAACTGCTTGAATTGCTCCCGCGCCCAGGAATTCACTGCTTCTCAGGGCAAGGCGCCCTCCAAATTGCCGGCTCTTCCAAGATGCTTCCTTCTAAGTCACCCAAAGTCTCATTCCCAGGGCCCCCCCCAAGGGCTGTCCCCACTCCTAGAGCTAACCACAGCCCTCTTCCCTAAGGTGGAGCTTCACATGTCTGAAGGACACAGCATCATCTTCCCAGCAGGCTCCATGGACCCTTCTGGAAGGTGGGGGGCTGCACCTCACATCTGCCCCTCAAAGGCTGCATCTGCCGAGCATTTCCTAGGTGGGGCTAAACGTTGCATGTGCTGTATTCCATGCCGGGCTCACCGCAGCCCTAACAAGTTGGGCACTATCTTTCTCCCCATTTCGTAAATGAGGGGTCTGAGCCTTGGGGAGGTTATAACCCTGCCCAAGAGCAAACACAGAATGTGACAGATCCCAGCTTCAACCCAGGTTCGTCTGACTAGAGTGGCTGCCGTATCAATACCGTCCACGGGCTCCTCTCCTGCGGCACTGGGACAGCTGCTGTTATTTCCCCCCGGGGCATCAGCCCAGGGCGCTGAGCGGGTGAAGTGCTCCCCACACAGTGGGCTCCTCCCCACCATCTAGTGTCCGCAGAACGCTTCCTCTGGCCATGCTTCTGCTGGGCCCCGGCCCACAGTGAACCCCCTTCCAGCACCCAGCACAGTGACCCAGTGACCGTCCCTGACCTGCCCCGGCAGACTGAGCAGAGCCCAGCGCTGCCAGGTGCTCAGAGCAGTCCCACCCCCCAGCTCAGGACATTGGGGCCGGAAAGCGCTGGTGGGAGGGACCTGAGGCCAGCTCAGCGATCAGGGAGGCCTAGAGATGATGAAACGTGGTGATTCCCGCTTCTCTGAGTCACTGAACGATTGGGGGGAGGGGACTACAACTTGTCCTCATCCCCACCCCCCACGACCCCCCAGCCCCTAATTCTTCCCCCTCCCCCCACCATGAAGTGATGCCCCAAAGGCTCAGGCCTTCCCTTCTCTCACCCCACCCCACCTCTCTCCTGAGCACCTCTTCACCTGTCCCACCTGTCCCGCCAGGGGTCCCCAGAGACACAGAGAGGCTATGGGCTTGATGTTTTATTTAGTCTGTGGGCGCGGGGAGGCCGGCAAAGGTGTGGAGGGGAGCGCTGGCCCTGGCCTCAGCGCAGGCCGCGGGGCGTTGCGGGTCTAGAGGCTGGGCGCCCTGTGAGGAGAGGGCAGGACGCGTCTGTGAGGGACCAGTCCTTGCCCTCGGGCCGCTCAGCCCAGGGGGCCAGGCAGTCACAGCACGGTCGCAAGCCTACCTGGGGGCAGCTGCGTGGGGGGGCGCCCACTCCAGGGAGTCCGGCTTGTCTTCCTTGTCTCTCTTCCCGTACCTGAGAGGGGAGAGGTGTGTGCCCAGGTGCCAGCCACCACCGCGTGCCTACCCTGGGGCACGTCCCAGCCAGCACAGGCGGGCCAGGCCTGGCCAGCAGGAGGCCTGGCCCCAGTCCCAGGCCCACCCTGCTGCACCCACCTGGGCCTAGTCAGCATGTTGATGTATCTGCGGAGCTCCGCTGCATACTGGGCCATCTGCTCCGGCGTGGCATTGTCCCCTGGGTACACTGGCTCCAGCGGGGCCCCCCGGGCTCCCAGCGGTGGCTGCAGCAGCAAAGCCACGCAGGTGGACAGGAGCAGCAGAGCGAGGCAGCTCCGGGCAGCGGCCATCTAGGAGCGAGGGCAGAGTAGAGCCCTCAGTGCCGGGATGCAGGGCCCACCCCCAGCCTCTTAGCCAATCACCCACTTCTCCAGGCCAGGGGGCCGCCCACACCTGACCACTCCACTCCAGGGCTCGCCTGGAGAGCACGGTAGCCCCTGGTAGCCCCTCTCGTGAGCAGCCACAGCTCACTTAAAGTAGAAAGTGCAGTGGAGAAGGTGGAGGAAGGTCTGCCTGGCTCCCATCACCCAGAGGGAATGGCACTGAGGAGAGGCAGGGAGGTGGGTGGGTGCCTGGGGTCTGGTGGAAGTAGGGGCAGCCCAGCTCACCCACAGGGTGGGGAACCTGTGGGCCTGCTGCCCCCCACTTCCTGCGCAGGGCTAGACCTGCCGACACAGGCCCTGGAGAAGGCGGGAGGGCCTGGGGCCCCGGTCGCACAGCGGGTCCTCGATCCACAAGTCGCACTCAGGTATCTGTGCTCATGGTCCCACACGCTGGCTGTCTCCGCCAGCAGACTGCCCTTCCAGCTTAAAGCCAGACCTAGGCAGAACCTCGGGTCTCCTGAGGCCCCCAGCTCTGTAGGGTGTCAGCTCCTCTCTCCCCTCCAGTCTCTGGCTCTTAGCAGCCCCTCAGAGCCGCTGCAGGCTGAGCCCACTTACCCTGAATCCTGAGAAAGCGAACGGGTATACTGGGCCAAGCAGGCACCTGCCTCGGGCTGAGTGGGTCCCCCAGCCTCTGCTGTACACCTTTATAGTGCTCAGCCCCCCAGAGTCCCCGCCTCCTGTCAGCATCTCTCATCCCCCCAGTTCTCCTCCCCCATGGTCTCCCTGGTGCCCGCAAAATGCCAGTTAGCACTGGGGCCAGGGAGGGGAGGGGAACAGGGCAGTGACGTGGGTGCCAGGCTACTGGCATAATAGATAAAAGTGGGTCATAATAAAGGTCTCCTGTGGGCTCTCAGCCCTCACGGGCCTCTGCCTTTGGGTACCAGAGCAGACTTGGTTGAAGAAGGATGGGGTTCTAGGACTTCCAGATGACTGAAAGTTTCTTGTCACTGGTGTCTGAACAGGGATTCACCCAAATCATCAAATGAGTCCCTTAGGGCGGACGATGGAGGCTGCAGGGATGAAACGTATGGAGACGTCCAGCTCTCAGTTAGAATAGGTGGCATGGAGCTTCCCCAGGTAGCTAAGCCATGTGGAAAGGCAGAGAGAGCCCCACTCGGCTGCAGAATAAGAACTGGTGTGCCTGGGGGAGATGGCATGTGCCCATTTTTGGTGGGCATGCATGAGCCCCCACACCAGAGATGGAAGCCAGCACCTCTGAAAGCCTCGGATTTCCCAGAGGGCTCCCCCCTCAATTACCCTACACCCACCATTTTATAGTCAGAAGCCAGGACCCAGAGATATTAGGTAACTTGCAGCCCCAAGTCACATAGCTAATCAGGAGGAGACCCACAATTTAAAACAAAGTCTAACTCTGAAATCTGGACCCTTTTTGCCTAAAGAGTTGTCAAAGTGTTGACAACTTTCTGCTTTTTGGCTGAGAAACCGGAGGCTCACACACACTTGCCCAAGAATGCACGACTGTCTAGCGCCAACCTCTGGTTTAGAGGCTCACCACTCCCCACAGCCCCCCGCCCCTCAGGGCACCGCTGGGTCTCCCCAACTCCTGACCTTCCCCTGCTCTGGTCAGAGCAGTGACTCTGCCTTATTGACACACTGATGCCTCCATATTCTGCTGTCCCAGGCTGGTGTGGATTGTGGGTAAGAAATCTAGGGGTTGGGTAAGGGCTGGAAGTGGTGCCCCAGGAATCTAGAGCCAAATCCCGACTCTGCCACTGGCTGGCTGTGTGAGCCTGGGAAATCACTCCTTTATTCCCTCTAAGCTTCTATCTTCCTCAAGATAGTGAGGGCCAGAGAAGGCTCCATAGGGGCCTCTCTGGGGGCACAGGGGTTAAAGTCTCAGTGCTATCAAGCTATCTGCAGCCACTGCAGCAAGAGTTTGATCTCCCGCCAGGAAGCTGACCCACAGGGCACAGCAGACCACTCCTGTCTCCCCGCTGCTCCCCTCAGCAGTGGATTTCAGTAGATTTGCTTGTTCTGCTCCCCACTCTGTCTCTGGTGACTCCTCTCACACTCCACACTTCTGGCCTGTACCCCAGTTCTGTATGCATAAATAAATAAATACATCTTTAAAGAAGAAAAAAAAAGGCTCCATAAACACGAGTGCGCTGCTTTATTCCTCTGAATTCTCATTCCTGATGCATGTTTCACCCAACAACAGCTTACAGCCCTCAAAGCAAATGTAAAGCTCGCCCAGTCTTGACAAGTGCCTGCGTTTGGTGCAAAAGGAGGACGGTGAATGGGCTGGTCCCAGGGAGGCTTCGGGTCAGGCTGGCAGAGGCCACAGCCCAACACCAGGCGGCGCAGCTCTACCAACCCGCCCACTCCCCTCCGCTTCTAAGGGCTCCCAGCGGAGGGCAGCTCCAGGGCCGCTCTGCGGGGCACCAGCCCCGGAGACAGATGGTGGACTCACGTGCCGAGGCCGGTCCTAGGTTTGTCACAGAGGTAAACAGCTTTGTCAGTGCCTAAAAAATTACAGGCACTCCACAAATGTCAACCGAAGCCAAAGCTTCCATTATTCTCCTTTGCAAACAACAGCTTCCTCTCTCGGGTCCCCTCACCGGTGTGTGACTATCTGACTATCGAGGTGGAAGAGAGCGGAGGTGCGTCTCCCCTGAATGGCCCCCGCACAGCGGAGGGCCCCACTCACCTGCCTTGTTCCTGGGACCCACCATGGAGAATGCGCCTAGAGAGCAAATACTCCAGAAACACGGGGTGCTCAGGATAGAGGCAAGCGTGCAGTAGCACGGGGCCTTGACACCCCCACATAGTCCTCCCACATAAGACAGGGATTCTTTTTTCACTTACTTATTTTCTTACATTATTGTTCACTTTTGGTGTTTCTTCGGCAGCACATACACATTATGGTTCACTTTTGCACAATATTTGATTCCTCCTCCCTCTCGGGTGAGTCCCCATAATTCTCCCATTACCAGAGTACCCCTGACCATCACCATAGTCCCTGTGCTTGTCCCGCCCTGTTTTGACCCCTCTCCCTCTCTGTCCCCTGCTGTTTGCCTCAAATTTATGGCCTCCCTGGGCCTGGAGATTGCCTTCTGCTGATGAAGAGTAGGCTTAAGCCATTTGTAGGTGAGGCGATATGACGGTGTTTGTAGCAGAGAATGCCCGTTGCCCGTCATCACTCTCTCCTACCATCATAAAATAGTTTGGGAGGGATGCACAGCTAAGGACACCTTCAGGTTCTTCTTACCTGTGCTCACGTGGCCAAGCCTTCAGCCACTGAGGTGAGAGTCTTGATCACCTGCGCCCTTATGTTTTCCAGTGTGCCCGTGTCTGCCTGTGGCCGATTGCACACGAGATGAGCATAAAAGCATCTCCTCTCCCACATGTAGTTGTAAATGGGGCCTGGGTCTTCTTTTCGGAACGTGGGTGGACCCCAAGAGACTGCTTGGACCTGTTAACTACAGTAGAAGCTGCATTAAGACTTCTGAGGCCAAGTCATCAAAAGAAATTGATAGGGTCAATCTGGGTCCCCCAACAATCATTTGTCGAAGTCCTAACCCCAGACTGTGCTCGCCCTTGGAAATAAGGTCATTGCAGATACACTTAATTAAGATGAAGTTATACTGGGGTGGACCCTAATTCAAAATTTCATTGTCTTTATAAAAGGGAGAAATTTGGACACAGAGATAGACATACACAGAGAGGAGATGTGACTAGACAGAGCAGACACCATCTACAAGGCAAGGAGGGGCCACAGCACAGCACTCCCCCCCCCCCCCGACACCTTCCTTCAGTCTCCTAGCCTCCAGAACCACTGTTTATACCACCCAGTTTGAGGCCTCTGTGATGGCCTAGGGGTTAAGTTTCAGTGCTATCACCATGATGGCAGCCCACCCCCACTGTGACATCCCAGTTCAGTCCTGGCCAGGGAGCTGACCCACCTGGGGCAGCAGACCTCTCCTGTCCTGCACCCTGCTCCCCTCTGCAGTGTATTTCAGTAGATCCACCTGTTCTGCTCCCCACTCTGTCTCTGATGGATCCTCTCACTCCCCATACCTCTGGCCTGCACCCCAGTTCTTCTACACCAAAATAAATAAGTAAATGATAAATACCCTACCCAGTTTGTGGAACTTGGTCACAGAGGCCCTAGCAAATCAATACGGCAATGTGACTTCCTCCTGGTTCTCTTGCAGCGCCCATGGGAGGTGTGGGGGGTGAGTCAGCTCCCTTGTTAGTCCAGCTATCCCAAGAACATTGCTGAGAGACCGTGTGTCGATGTGGGGTCAATGGCACCGCGCCTGCCAGCAGTGAGTGGACCTCAAGACACAGCCCAGGCCAGCCTCCCTGCCTACCCGCTGAGCACAGATCTGGAGCCAGCCTCTCCAGACACGTAGGTGCGCCATCGGCCAGCCGCAAAACAGGAGCCTGGGCTTCTGGGTGCTCTTACGGAGCAAACTGCCAACTCCCCAAATGTCACTTGAATTTCGTGTGAAAGAAGCAAATCAGTTCACTGTTCATTCTGCCTCTCTCCAGTCGATAATAGCCCCGCAATATAATGGGTGTAAAACTAATAACTCAGGGTCCAGCACATCAGGAAGCAGTTTCAAGGTAAGCATTGCTGTCGTCACCATGAATTGCTCACCTGCACGCCCCTCTCCCCAGATAGTGGTGGAACGTGGTCAGCAGTGGCTTCACCACATGCACCCGTTCACCCCAGTGGGTGTGAGCTGACTCGCGTCACTTGTGGTCAAGGGGACATGTCCACTGAGCAGAAACAGCTGTGCACAGCCATTCCCTTAGACCCATGCTCACCACTCCTCTCTGGGCAGACTGCCAACAGGGTACTGTGGACACCAGCAGACAGACCCCACCCATCAAATGCACCAGAACTCATGGTGGTAGGACTGGAGGGAGCAAAATGGAACGGAAAGTGAGTCTCATGTAATGTCAAAATGAACGCCTGCCGGAGAAATCAAGAAGGGCTTCCAGGGAGAGGTGACCATTCCCCTGCAGCTGTTTTCCAGGCGGAAGAAAGGGAAGGGCTGGCCAGGCAGGGGGGTGGTTCTCATGGTCATAGCTGCAGGGAGGTGAGGGATTGGGTTAGACTCCAGTCAGCGGAGAGCCCCGGGAAAGCGGGGGTGGGGGGGTGGGGGATGGCAGGACTCAGGTGTCCCCATGACCTGGTCAGTAGGAAGGCAAAGTTGGAGACTATTCCACTGTGTGTGGAGTCAGTGGTTCCTGAGGGAGAGTTAGCAACCTTGCTCTGTTGTGCCCAGGGCAGGGATGGTTAAAACTGGCCGCTCCCCACAGCACACTCCTGCTAACCTCAGCCCCCAAATGAATCTCTGCAGCCCCATCTTACCATCTTAGATCCCTTCTCCACTCCCAGCCACTACACACTTGGGGGCTAGGAATACATCTCAAGGTGATTGCCCCAGGGTAGGGGCGTGCTGTGGCCCGCAGTCATTTGGGGGCCAGATCTGTCTCCACCTGCTTTCCTAGGCTGCCTAGCATGCTCCATCCCACCACACCTCCATCCTCCTCCCAGCCCCTTTTCAAAACCAAATATCCTCCTGCTCACCATTCCCTGACCCTCTGACCCCCTAGAGAAACTTCCAGCGTTTCAGTCGGGGGCTGTCCACTCCCAGGGCAGCGTTATCTTCTCTTAACTCAAAGCAGAAAGACGCCCCCCAGCGAAGCTCCCGCCCTTTGCGGCGCTCGGGTCTCTCCACCACTCGGGTCTCTCACCACCCCCTCCGCGAAGGAGAAGGGAAAAGGAAATACAAAAGCGCCTTCTGTTTCAGTGACATTTGCTCTTTATTTGGGGATCAGGGAAGGACAGGACACAGCCCCCAGCCCGGTGGGTGGGGTCCGAGGAATGGAATGAGGCGATCCGGAGTCCTCCCCCGAGTCGGTGTGCAGGGCGAGGAGTCCAGGCTCGGGTCCGGAGCGCACCAGCGAATGAGGTCGGCGCCGTCGGCCCATCTCCCGGGCAGCCCCGGCGGTCACCACCTGTAGGAGCTTTCCGGCCTGAGGGGAAAGGAAAAGGCATCACCACCGAGCGCCCCGACCTGGAGAGGAGAGACTTTGGAAAGTATCAGGAGGTGGCGCCCCATGGGGACCCCAGGGCGCCGCGGGGCCGGCCGCGCTCCCGGGAACGGGGCTCGTGACCAGGGGGGAGCTTTCACCGCGACTTGGTGGGGCGACCCTCGCCGTCGGGGAGGAGCAGTCTGGACAGGAGAGCTTCGCTGTCGCGTTTCCCATACCTGGGGGCGGGGCGGTAGGGCGTGGTCAGGCGGGCGCGGGGTGGGGGCGGGACCCCGGGGGCTGCCGGCGCCCGCCCCGCGCTGAGCTCACCGCTGCCGAGTGACCAAGTTGAGGTAGTGACGCAGCGACGCGTAGTAGCGGCTCAGCTCTTCGGGCGAGGCGTCCTCGCCAGGAGCCTCGGGTTTGGCGGGGTAGGCGTCGGCCAGCGCGCCCAGACAGGCCAGCAGGCCCAGCAGCACAGTGACCAGGACGGGCCACGGCCTGCGCAGCGCCAGCATCTGGAGAGTGGGCATCGGAGCCTGGGTCAGCCTGAGCTTTGACCCCCAACGGCAACGGCGCAGATCCCAGGGGGCCCTTGAACCCCAGCTCCAGCGGCCTGTCTGGGACCAGTCCCAAGCCCAGCCCAGCCAGGATGACTACCGACCACCATGGCTGTGTGCGCGGTCACCGCTGCTGGCCCCAGCGCCCTCCTTAACCCGGTGCCTGCGGCCCTGCCTGCCTCCCTACCCCAGCCTCCCTCCACTGTTTCCTGCTGGAGGAAGACTGATACACAGTGGGAGTTCAGGCCTCTCTCCCCACCTGTGCTGGGCCCCTTCTAATTCAGCTTCCTGCCACTCAGCGCCAGTCCCCCCCCTCTGCCATTCCAGCCTCAGTTTCCCCGCACAAGGCCCAGCTGCCGGCACCAGCTGCCACTCACACTGAGAGCTCCAGTGGGGATGAGCAGGAGGCAGAGGCAGGAGTCCCAAGCGCTGGACTGCTGCAGGCGGGGCTCAGCCTCCTTTGCTCCAGGCCTCCCTGTGGGGCTTATATCCCATCCCGGAGGGTGGGGAGGTCAGGGGGAGGGAGGCCAGCCCGAGGGGGGAGAGCCCTTCCTCCTCCTTTCCTCCACCCCGCCAGATCATTAAGTTTCCACCCAGACTGTGCGTGATGTCTCCACCTTGCAGAAGCTGAGGGGCAGCAGCCACGCTCAGACACAGGCTCTCTCAGACAGGGTGGCTAACCTGAACCCCATATTCACCCCCGAGCACCCCAACAGCAGGTCTAAACTTCTGGAGTGAAACTTTGGGTCTAGACATCTGGGGCAGCCCCCTGGGACCATTCCCCCACACCCCCCCCAGGCCAGGGTGGGGACCTCTGAAGAGCAACCCCATCAGACCCACCTGCCCCACCAGGAGGGGAGCAGAGCGCTGTCAGGGTGTCTCCCTCGAAAGTCCTCCCCAGCTCCCTTCCCAGCCTGACCAGAACCTCCATCAGCCCTGATCCAGGCATCCCATCAGCCCTGAGGACAGGAGGGGCCATCTTGTCCAGGCCCCTGGTTCTGGGCCAGCCCCTCCACCCTCCAGGACAGATGGCCGTGGGTGTTATTTTTAGAGTTCTCTGGGGTGGAGAGTCCAGGGCTCCCTCAATCACCTTTTTATGGGTTCAATCATCTGCACTCTCCGGAAATGGCTCCTTATCAACCAGTTGGGCCCACAGGCCCCACACATCCCAAGAAAGGACAGGGTGCTTCGCTGGGCGCGAAGGTGGCAGAGGACAAGGGGATGCAGGTGCTACCCTCAAAGGAGAAGAAAAATTGCTCTTCTTGGGGCGCTCTTGTCCGAGGGGCAAGGTGCAGCCTGTTCTCTAGAAAGCCCAGTCTCAGAGGGGAGTCGGACCCATCCTTGGGGACTCCCTCTGAGGGGAGGCTCACTCCTGAGTCACTGGGGAACGCAGCCTGAGAGGCTCTCACTCTCTCCAGCGGCCCAGTACAGAGACAGAGGCACAGAGACAAGTCTGGCCCAGTGTGGAGAGGAGACAGCAAATGGGAAAGCAGCTTCATGCTGAGGCGAGGACGGGGCTGAAGGGGGCGAGGACAGTCCGGAGAGGGTCCGGGGGTGATGCGGAGTTTCCGGAGTGCTGATTCCAAGCATAAAGGTATGGCTGGAGTAGTGAGATGCCCACGGGGAACCTGTGGCACCCCCAGGAGTCCCACATATGTTGGCGGGATGCGATTACAGGGTCCAAAGACAGATGGGAGAAGGAGAAACTAGAAAGCATGGGGGAGCCCCAGATTCAGGGCTCCTGAAGAAGTTGCACCCCCACTCCCTTTGACGTTAAAGTAAAGAGCAAAAGTGGTCCCCAGCGTGGACCAGGACCCAGCAGCCCACACCCTCACAAGTCCTCCGACCACCACACCTACCTCCAATTCCACTCCCCAATTACAGAGCAAACTGATTGGTTCATTAATCACCAGCTCCTTATTGAAGAGGTTATTAATTTGTTAATTAGTGAGGACAATGCCTCAGCCCTGGATCAATGGGCTCAGCACCCCTCTTTCGCTCCCCCCATGCCATCACTGACCCATGACTCACTCACTGTGAGACATGTCTGGGCAGTGAGGGGGCTGACGTCCGTTAGGGGAGAAACTTGTTTGCTGCGCCGCCCCCAGAGCCCGGCACAGAGCAGCGGGTGGCGCTTGTGGGGCCCTGTAAGTGCCGGAGCGTGAGGGCGGCTTCCCTCCCTACAAAACGGTCATTTGTAGACTTGGGACCAAAACCGGCCTCCAACTTGTCCTCAAAGGGTAGGGAGCACAGAACCACTGGCGACCCCTTGATCCCCATTCTGAGAGTTTCTAGAAAGGCCACCAGGGGTTGGGGAAGCTGTGGGCTTGGGCCCTAACTCACCTTTCCCCTCACCTAGTAGACTCCAGGGTCACTCATGAAGGTGGGGCGGCTCATGCCACGCACCCCAGAGGCTCCCCCTGCCCCTCCCTGCAGGCCTCCCTGGTGAAGCACGCACTGGGCACCCCCAGGCTGCATGTCCAGAGTCCTAGAGAGACCGGGTGCCATGCGACGGGAGGGAAGCCACCCTCACCCAGCAGCACTTATAGGGCCCTACTATGCGTCACCCGCTGCTCTGTGCGAGCCGCTGGGGACAGAGCAGCAACCACGAAGGCTCATTTCTTGCTCTTGGGAGCTTACATTCTAGTGGCAGGAATGGAGAATACACGGGAGAACAAGGAAGCATGTGGTATCTGACGGACAAAAAGAAACAGGGTTCGGAGGTAAAAGAGTACTGGGGCGAGGAGGCTTGTTTATGTTGGGGAGTTGGAGGAGGCCTCACCTATGAGACGGGGCTTGAAGGTAAGGAAGCAAACACGCGTCTGACTTGGCAAGAACACTCCAAGAGGCAGAAAGAGCAGGGAAAGACCCCGAGATCAACATGGGCAGTTTGGGGAAGGAAAAGGCAGTCCATGTGGCGGGAGTGGCCTGTGCAATCAAAGTTAGGGGGAGAGGAGGTCAGGAAGGCGCCGGGAGTGACCACGCAGGGCCCCTAGGTGGCCACAGAGACTTGGGCTTTTGCTCAGCAGGAGATGAGCCCTTTGGTCAGAGTAGTAACATAAGCTGACTTGTGTTTTAAAAGAATACTGGCTGCTGAGAATAGCCGGAAGTGGGGCCAGGTCAGGGATTTACTGCAGTGAGGCAGCCAGGAGATGGTGGTGACATGCACACCTGCACGTACGCACACACGCACACGTCACATGCATGCACCGCAGCAGCTCACAGCGGTAAACACTTTTCACCCAAGAATAATTTCCAGTTATGTGCCGCAGAACGGACGGCCTGTCAGCCACCCCGCTGAAGGAGTCCTCCAGAGAGGGTGGCAGAAAGCAACGCCTGTTGCAGCATTAGGTGGTGGACGGCCTGCCTCTCACTGCTCGGGCCTGTGAAACCCTGCCTGGCCTTGAGTACCAGCTGCCACCCAGGGACAGTGGCCTCCATGACAGCACATGTCTCCTTACTTACTCTGACACTGCCCAGAAAGAAGCAGAATCAGAAAGAAACAGTTGACACCTTTGGAAAATGGCTGCATTCTTCAAAGGTGTATCAGCCAAAGTCACGGAAGCTCGGGATCTCCGCGGACCGAGCTTCGGTCGGGAGCAGGCAGAGGCCGGCGCCCCGTGACCTGTCACTGTGTGCAAAGCACCGGGCGGGTAAGTGGGAGCAGGTGTGAGGGAGGCCGAGGGACGGGAGGGTGTTGTTCACACTCTTCCTCACACGGATTCTGGCTATATGGAGGGGGTGGGGTAGGGAGCCCAAAAGGCCAAGACAGAAGGGATTTTCACTTCTCGTAGTAGAAGTTCTCCCAGGAAACCCCTCGCCAGAAGGGGCAGGCCCAGTGTGGCACAAGGATGGAGCCGTGGCATGGGGAAAGGGCCTGGCCAAGGCTCAGTCTTCTCTCTGGAATGAATATCTGCAAACACCTGCTACAGAGGACCAAGTAAATATTTGGGCCATGGCATCTCCGTTTGGCTTGGCCACTGTTGTGCCAAAATCACCATAGAACTATGCAAACAGCAAGTGGACAGGACTGTGTTGTAATAAAACTTTATACGTGAACATTAAAAACTGGATGTCACACAATCTTCACGCATCATGATACTGTTCTGACTTTTTTCAACATTTAAAAATACAAAACCCTGGACTATGGTCATGGCACAACAAATCATAGGGTGATTTGGTGATGAGAAGCCCACAGGGATTACAACTGAGATGGGGAAAGGCACAAAATGATGTAAAAATAAACTATTATGTTAAAATTTTGAAAAAGAAAAAAAAAGCAAAACCAGTCTTTGCCTACCAGTAGACAGCTGGCTGGAGAAGGTGGGGCCTCCCCACATGAGGGACACTGTCAGCCCTAAGGAAGGACGGATGTAGCCTTTAAGAGCAAAATGGAGGGTGCTGGAAGGAATTATGGGCAGAAAAGCAAGTAGGAGGGATAAAGACAAACACCGGACCTTTACATAGCATGATTTTACAGAATAAAACGCAAAAACGAGAGGACATTAATAAGCGGCGGTTCTGAGGTTGCAGGGAGTGAGGGAGGGTGTGTGCAGGACTGTGAGGGGATAGAAGAAGACACCAGTTACCGGGGAAAGCAGCCTCCGTCCACAGGATGTGCAGAAGTCCACACAGCAGGGGCAGGTTCCGCCCCGGTGAGCTGTCTGTTGGCCAAGAGTCGGGTGGTTTTGTTCTTTGCCCTGTGGATGCCAAACATGCCAGTCTCTGTATCACAGGGTCACGTTATTCAATGAATTACTACACAAACTGATGAAATGTGAGTGCAAGTAGTTGTTTCCTTGGACAACTGAATGGTTTGGAAAACTAAACACAACTTGGACAACTGAATGGTTTGGAAAACTAAACACAACTTGCTAACACGCTGCATTTGAAGGCGAGCTATATAACATGTTCAGGGAAGACATTGTTTTTTTTTTTTTTTAAATGTTCAGGGAAAA